TTTTTTTTTCAGGAAGCTGCAAGTAATGCAGATTCGGTCCTCATGAATGCAGAAGCAATGTCTTCAAAAGACAATGCTGAGTGGCTTTCATCAGTTGAAGCCATAGAAGTCAGGAAGTTCGAATTAGAAATTCAATCCCAACTAGTTCATGAAGCTAAATCCATTTTGAATGAATCCATTGATCAATCAGTTGAGGATGACCAAAGGGAAATAGATGTTCTTTGCATGAGAAAGGAAGAATTGGCCGAAGAACTGAGGAAACTGCTTGCTTTAGTGAAAGAGAAGGAAGCAGAAATAGCAGAAAATGATGCTCTCATTCAAAAAGTTGAGAATCGGATTGATGGGGTTGTCTCTTGCTTTAAAGAGGTTCAAGCAAGTATAGATAATAATTATGATAAATTGCAGTCATGCCTTTCTGAGCTAATGGTCGAGAATGAAGTTTTACTGAGAAAAAAGAAGGATATTGATAACTACCTTTCTCAAGAAGAATCCAGAGGAGAAAAGATTAAGAATCTTTCCAGGAGTTCTGCAGATGAAGCAAACATGTACGAAGAAGTTGCTGGTCTTAGAAAGAGTCTGTCGATGTTCATCTCGAAATCCAAGGCCTATAGAGTGAATCTTGCCAAAAGTGAAGAAAGGATCTCAGAGGACGTGCAAATTCTCAAACAAGAAACTTTTGCTGCAAGATCTTCACTTCAGGTTAGATCTGCTTTGAGTAACTGTATTGAGATTCTCCTATTAGAGCAATATCTACGTCAAATAAGATACTTGCACTGTTTCTGCATTCTAACCTTAAAGTGAAAATATGTTGTTCATAATTTATTTGGCTTAAATTACTTAGAACAACAATTACTCAATCGTGAGCTACTCGGGATCAGTTATATGCATCCTTATTATCCAATCTATTCCACCTGAACCAGTTTCAACTCACTATTCAATAGTTTGAGGTTCTATAACTCTGGAAGTTCAAAGTTCTATACATTTTCTAGTGACATACAAGTCTGTGGACATACCAAAGGACTCCTAGTTAACACTGGACCTAGTGCAAGCATGCCAACATGACTAAGCATTAATCGTCACTAGCCGGTACTGTATATGTGGATCTTTTACTTCCATTGTATTTTATTATTTGGTAATTCTGCATGAATTCTAAAAGATTGCAAGTTTAAGACAACTTTCTCCATGAGACTTTAGGTATTGCTCATTACACCTTTAATCATCATAGTTTAGAGTGGTGCATTTGGAGGTTTGCATAGGACATGACCAAACCATCTCCTGTGACATTTTCTCATTTTATCCTCTGTGTATATTACTTGTGCGTTTCTGCTGATGTAATCATTTGAAGAGACATTCATTTAACATTCGCATTGCTGCGGCACTAATCTTATTGATATGGGCCTTAAAGTCACGACATTCTCTCCCATACAACATAGCTTGTCTTACAACTGTTCATGCCTTTCATTTTGGTAGGTATCTGCCTATCGCATAGCATTCTCATAGCACACCTCCATTTCTGTCATTCTGTTTTAGTTTTCTGTTGTTACATACCATTCTCCTGAAATATTGAGTCTAAATATCTATATTTTATGTATTTAGAATCCTCAATACCATCTAATATCACCTCAACTTCACTGTTGTTATGCTATATAAACTTGCAGTGCATACTACTTATCCTAAAATCCTAACTTCTCAAGATATTAGGCTTAAATTGCTTTTACAAAACATTTGGCTCATTTTCCAGATAGTTTGGGGTAATAGATGGGCTGCATGGGCTGAACATAAAGCTGAAGGTAGCAGGGTTGAGAAGGATTTTAGTAATTTGAGATAAAAGGCTTTTAAGTTTAGAACAACAACGTGGGAATTATTCTATCTCTTGTTTATTTGGAAGTGTGACAGAAGAATTTAGATGGTTTTTTTATGGTGGTATATTGAGCACACACAAAAAATGAAAGGGGTGAATTGTGGATGGAATTGGAGCAATAAGAGGATTATGAGATTGCCCTTGGTTATTGGGTGGACTTTAATGTTGCTAGATTCACCGAGGACATGAGAGTATGTACAAGAAGCTCAAGTTCCATGGTAGCTTTTTCTGATTTTATACAGGATATTACCCTATTAGATTTACTTTGCAGGGAGGATTGTACACTTTGGGAGAGAGGAGATAACATTGCACAAAACCTATAGAATCGACAAATATTTAATTTCATCCGAGTGGAATGAAGTTCTTAGAGCCATTAAACAAGAAACCTTGCCTAAGTTGTTTCAGAACACAAGCCCATATTGCAGGAATGTGGAGAGTGGGTCAGAAACATCTCGTATATTAAGTTTGAGAATATGCAGTTGCACTGGGTATTGAGCCAAGGGTCTACCGGAAACAATCTCTCTACCTTCACAAGGTAGGGATAAGGTCTGCGTATATATCCGCCGACCCCACTTCTGGGAAAACACTAGGTATGTTATTGTAAGGTTTGCTTGATAAATTAAGCAGGTTTTCAACCAAAGTTCATCAAATGTATCTTCTTGGGGTACTCATGTCTCCAAAAAGGTTACAAATGCTATGATCCTATTACACAAGTACTTTATCTCAGCAGATGTAACCTTTTTCGAGACATCCCTTGCTTCTCACCAAATTCACTAAGTCAAAATGCCTTCTCGAAGATTCTTCTTGTTCCAATTCTTTCATCTCCAAATCCTCTCACTCTAGCTCCTCTCCTCTTCAAGTCTACTCCAGTCGACTTTGACCAAACCCTCCACCAGCTAATCCAGTAGAGGTTTCTGTTCATGATAACTAAACAAAGTCCACTGAGTGACTGGTTGCCTGCTTTAATAACATCCCGTGCTTCGGTCAAGCACTCATCTGATGATATTGATCTCTCTATTGCACTTCGAAACGGTATTTGAATTACACGTAACACTAATGTTGCTTATATTTTCTTGAGTTATTACCATTTGTTACCTTCATTTCATGCCTTTGTTACCAACTCATCCACTGTCAAAATAACTAAGACTGGCAGAGGCGATGACTCATCTAGGTTGGCGTCAGGCTATGATTGTGGAAATGACTGTTGTTCATGATAATGGTACTTGGGAGATAGTTCCTTTACTGCCAGGCAAAACAGCAATTGGATGTTTCTGGATGTGTACTGTCAAGATGAGTGCTGATGGGGAGGTTGATCCTCTCAAAACTAGATTGGTAACAAAGAGGTATACTCTGATTGATGGTTTTGATAATGGTGATACTTTCTCTCTAGTAACGAAGATTGCATCAGTTTACCTCCTTATCTCCATGACAGCCATGTTTCATTGGTCCCTTTATCAGTTGGATGTCAAAAATGCCTTTCTTCATGGGGAACTTGTCGAGGAGGTATACATGGAGCAACCTCCCTGCTCCGAGGGAGTCTGGGTTATTGTGTCTCCTGCCGATCTTTGTATGGTCCCACGCAATGACCAAGGGCATGGTTTGGACATTTAAGTATTGCTGTCTGATCATGAGAGCATTACTCAATTTAAACAACATCTTGTCGATTACTTTCAGACCAAAGACATAGGTAAACTAAGATACTTCCTAGGCATTAGGTGGCGCAGTACAGCAATGGAACTGTCATTTCACGAAGGAAGTATGCTTTGAACGTATTGAAAGAAACTGGCATGTTTAAATGCAAACCTGTTGATACTCCTATGGACCGAATGTTAAGTTTCTTCCTGGATAGTGGGAGCCCTACGGAGTCCATTCGTTATCAAATATTGTTGGCAAACTCAATAAAACTTTACGATCTCACGAAAAGACATCTCATTCAGTATTACCTTAAAAAGGGTCATCACATTAACTATCAGTGTTCTTAGCCAGTTTCTCCAATCTCCTTGTAGCATCATTGGAATGTAGTGATTCACATTCTAAGGTATAT